TGAAACGCATCGGAGAGAATCGAAAAAATAAGAGGTTCATCGATCGACAACAAATCGGAGGAAAGCGTCTCCAATGAACCGGTTATTGAATTCAGAATCCATTTAAGACTCAGAACTCTCACTCTCACAGTCAGGGCCACTAGCCCTCTAAGATATACGAGTCGTATATCGTACGTCGTATAAGATGCAAACAAAATAGAAAGCAAACGAATAAGAGAGCGAATTAGTCGCTCTAGGCTCTGTCAATCATCTTTTTACTGTTGGTGTTACATCGTTGACGAGAAAGAATGAACGAGCCCCACTAGTTATAGTAACGTAGATAGTAACCACGAGCATTAAAAGCACGAAGTTGACAGAATCGCTGCACAACGATGGCTGTATACAAAAAGCGGCTTCAAAAAGCAAAATCTGCTAAGCAAACTTCGAAAAGTGTTGAATCAAGAAGCCTCCTAGATTTAATAGAGAGATTAGCAGAAGCTACCAAACTGCACAACCTCATCTCCGTTGAGGGCACCGTTAACCACAGAGACGATACCAGTAGAAATAGTGGTTATCCCGCCTATAATGACCACGGTACCAAGCAGTAAGACAAGTATACTCATACGCCCTGTCTTTGCTATGAGCCTTGCCACTATGGTCTTGCCCAGAAGAGCTCCAATAAAAGGCATGACAACGATCCACAAGTCCGAGGCAGGAGGGAAGTAACCACCCAATGCAAATGACAGAGCCGTACCTGAAGAAACGTGGCGAGCAGTGAGGTTCGTCTTCACAGCTGAGCTTCTAACTTACTGGTGCTTGTAGCGAAAATGACTATCGAGGTAGTGGCTGTAGCCTGCTTAGGATCAAGCCCGAGCGAAAGGACAACGGGAATCATGAAGAGCCCTCCACTTATCCCGACAATAGAGGATATCAGACCGATAACTGACAAGAATGGTTATCGCCTATGGATCTCGGCGTTCGATTTCTTTCAATGAAATCGAATGCTAAAACCAAGCCTCACTCTTACCAATCATGCTAGTCATTAGGACTAGGCCAACTCTGGCAGTTTCGGCAGTACGTTTAGCAACCACGTAGCCAGTAGGGATAAGGAGGAGTATAAGAGCTTGCAGCGCGGCAAGACCCCAAAAAGCCTCTTCACAAAAAGGGACTCCAATCACACCTGAGGGAGTAGCTGCTACATCATCCTGCTGCTCATCACACAAGCTGGGACTCAAGTCGAATACTACTTGGAGTGGATGAGTTCCTGTAAGAAGCGGGAAAATGAGGCACACTGCCCATATCAGAGCAGCGATACTCGTGTAGGCAGCAAGCTTCTTCATGTTCGGCATTCTCAGAAGAGACGGGACCTCTACAGTAACCTCCGATGATCGACTCATGTCGGTAGAATCTCCATCAACGGCTCTCCGCTTAGCCCCATTCTCAGCTTTCCACAGCCTGATTCCTTTCCGGTAGGCCATGAAGCTTCCCAGACAGACGAAACAGAAATACAGAATAAGGATGAATAGTGATGGGAGCCAGGAGTAGAGGTAAACGCCTATGAGGGAACCGATGACAGTGCAGGGCAGAGTGAGGATAACAAAGGGCCACACGATGAGGGCTTTAGGATCATTCCTAGCGGAGTACTGCTCAAAGCAATTGAAGAGAGTCTGAGAGGATAAGATCAGCACTGGTGCCAAAAGTTATCCAGACCTACAGCAGCCAATGATGCTGAGGCAATTAATGCCTGGCTCAGTGCTGTTGACTCCTTCAGTTGCAAGCCACCAATTAGGCGGAGTACTGGAACGAAGAGGACGCCACCACCGATGCCAGAGGGCATACAGAGCAGTGCTATGATGAGGAGAAGGGGAGCAACCCCGCCAATGTTCTCGATTGACGGAGATGCCATGTTAACGACACAGTAAATCCCTACATGGGGCAACGACGACGGCTCCACAACATGCTGCTTACTTGAGGGTATCCCTATCAATGAATAATAGTGATACTAACTACAATGGATCTATTATCAATACCATATGTCGATGGTTCCTACATGATCACGCGAGGGAAGCACGCGTACCCATGCGTACGCATGGGTACGCATGGGGTGAGTCGCTTTTCCGCATATCGCTCCGCTCACACGCGCGTGTGAGCGGAGCGATCGACGCCAAACTCGTAGTGAAAGCCTGTAACGGGTTCGACTGGATGTGGTGTACCACCACTAGTGGTGGAGCACACGAACTGGATAACACAATTACTAAGATGTGGATCGCCCTGGGCGATCCAATGAATAACGCAATTCCAGGCATACGTTCCCTAGAGACGAGCATCAGAAGTCGCGGAAAACATCTACCGAGCTGCTCGTGAAGGACTCATCGCTGACGTCTGTATCCCACAGATCAGCTCCCAAGTCGTGGTCCCATTCAGGTGGGGGCATATCGTCGGTTATGCCGGTGAAATAAGGATGGCTCAGTGTCGCGTCCCAGTCAGTGAGCCGCTGTGATGGATCTGGCTGTAACAGTTTATCCACCAAGTCGATCAGCTCACGTGATGGATGGAAGCCAGAAGCCCAGTGTATTGTACTTGGACTGCCTGACCACAGTCACTGCTATTCCACGTCCGTGCTTTTCTCAATTGACATGCACTGGTCTGGTTGCTATCATTCAAACGATATGAACTTCAGTAGATTCCCTCATTTCTGTCCACTATTACCTCTTGAGAGATCGAAGAGGTCGCCGATATCACCATCCCTGTACCCGAACGGCGGCTTGCCAGTAAGCATCTCTATCAAAAGGATACCCAACGTCCAGAAGTCCACAGCGTACCCATACCCGCACGTGGTCGCCACCCGAGCATCGTGGTCGATGCCAGGAAAGTGCCCGTACCTGCCTCAGAGTCTTCTGATGGTGAGA